AGACCCACATAAAGGATCACTTGGACAACGAAATATGGATCCCAGGTTAAAAACCTATACAGATGTGACAGAGTGAACAGGCAAAAAGGGGGGGGGGGGTTGGCCTGTACATTGCAGAGTCACTTGTTTGCACAGAACTGCTTAATGCCTCAAATGACGTAGTGGAAGTTTAGCAGTAAAGGTCGAGAACCAAAACCTAGTCATTGTGGTAGTCTACAAGCCTCCGGATGCAACATCCCAGCAATTCCAGGAACAGCTGTTAAAAATTGACCACTGTCTGGAAAATCTTCCAGCTCCTGCACCCAACATCTTTCTCCTGGGGGATTTCAACTTAAGGCACCTAAAATGGAGGAATATAGGAAATAATATGGGTTTCAGTAATAACACCAGGAGGCAGCTCTGATGAAAACTCACACTCACACGAGCTTTTAAATCTCTGCACAAAATTCAATTTAAACCAGCAAATAACAGAGCCTACTAGACTGGAGAATACACTAGACCTCATATTCACTAACAATGATGATCTGATAAGAAATGTCACCATATCAAAAACAATATACTCAGATCACAACATAATTGAGGTTCAGACATGTATGCGTGGAGCCCCAGACCGACAAAATGAGACTAGTCACGAGGGAGCATTCACCAAATTCAACTTCAATAACAAAAACATAAAGTGGGACCAAGTAAACCAAGTCCTAACCGATATAAGCTGGGAAGATATACTAAGCAACACAGACCCAAACTTATGCCTAGAACAGATTAACTCGGTGGCACTCGATGTATGCACAAGGCTTATTCCTCTAAGAAAAAGGAGGAGTAGATGTAAAATAGAAAGAGACAGGCGCTCCCTTTACAGGCGACGGAAAAGAATAACAGAGCGGCTAAAAGAGGTCAATATATCTGAAATGCGCAGGGAGACACTGGTCAGAGAAATAGCAAGCATCGAACTTAAGCTAAAAGAATCCTTTAGGAGTCAGGAATCGCGGGAAGAACTAAAAGCTATAAATGAAATCGAAAGAAACCCAAAGTATTTCTTCTCCTATGCCAAATCAAAATCGAGAACAACGCCCAGTATTGGGCCCCTATTTAAACAAGATGGGTCCTACACAGATGACAGCAAGGAAATGAGTGAGCTACTCAAGTCCCAGTATGACTCAGTTTTTAGCAAGCCGCTAACCAGACTGAGAGTCGAAGATCAAAATGATTTTTTTATGAGAGAGCCACAAAATTTGATTAACACAAGCCTATCCGATGTTATCCTGACGCCAAATGACTTCGAACAGGCGATAAATGACATGCCCATGCACTCTGCCCCAGGGCCAGACTCATGGAACTCTGTGTTCATCAAGAACTGCAAGAAGCCCCTATCACGAGCCTTTTCCATCCTATGGAGAGGGAGCATGGACACGGGGGTCGTCCCTCAGTTACTAAAAACAACAGACATAGCCCCACTCCACAAAGGGGGCAGTAAAGCAACAGCAAAGAACTACAGACCAATAGCACTAACATCCCATATCATAAAAATCTTTGAAAGGGTCCTAAGAAGCAAGATCACCACCCATCTAGAAACCCATCAGTTACACAACCCAGGGCAACATGGTTTAGAACAGGTCGCTCCTGTCTGTCTCAACTACTGGATCACTACGACAAGGTCCTAAATGCACTAGAAGACAAAAAGAATGCAGATGTAATATATACAGACTTTGCAAAACCCTTCGACAAGTGTGACCATGGCGTAATAGCGCACAAAATGCGCGCTAAAGGAATAACAGGAAAAGTCGGTCGATGGATCTATAATTTCCTCACTAACAGAACACAGAGAGTAGTCGTCAACAGAGTGAAAGTCCGAGGCAGCTACGGTGAAAAGCTCTGTTCCACAAGGCACAGTACTAGCTCCCATCTTGTTCCTCATCCTCATATCCGACATAGACAAGGATGTCAGCCACAGCACCGTGTCTTCCTTTGCAGATGACACCCGAATCTGCATGACAGTGTCTTCCATTGCAGACACTGCAAGGCTCCAGGCGGACATCAACCAAATCTTTCAGTGGGCTGCAGAAAACAATATGAAGTTCAACGATGAGAAATTTCAATTACTCAGATATGGTAAACATGAGGAAATTAATCTTCATCAGAGTACAAAACAAATTCTGGCCACAAAATAGAGCGAAACACCAACGTCAAAGACCTGGGAGTGATTATGTCGGAAGATCTCACCTTCAAGGACCATAACATTGTATCAATCGCATCTGCTAGAAAAATGACAGGATGGATAATGAGAACCTTCAAAACTAGGGAGGCCAAGCCCATGATGACACTCTTCAGGTCACTTGTTCTATCTAGGCTGGAATATTGCTGCACTCTAACAGCACCTTTCAAGGCAGGTGAAATTGCCGACCTAGAAAATGTACAGAGAACTTTCACGGCGCGCATAACGGAGATAAAACACCTCAATTACTGGGAGCGCTTGAGGTTTCTAAACCTGTATTCCCTGGAACGCAGGAGGGAGAGATACATGATTATATACACCTGGAAAATCCTAGAGGGACTAGTACCGAACTTGCACACGAAAATCACTCACTACGAAAGCAAAAGACTTGGCAGACGATGCACCATCCCCCCAATGAAAAGCAGGGGTGTCACTAGCACGTTAAGAGACCATACAATAAGTGTCAGGGGCCCGAGACTGTTCAACTGCCTCCCAGCACACATAAGGGGGATTACCAACAGACCCCTGGCAGTCTTCAAGCTGGCACTGGACAAGCACCTAAAGTCAGTTCCTGATCAGCCGGGCTGTGGCTCGTACGTTGGTTTGCGTGCAGCCAGCAGCAACAGCCTGGTTGATCAGGCGCTGATCCACCAGGAGGCCTGGTCACCGGGCCGCGGGGGCGTTGACCCCCGAAACTCTCTCCAGGTAAACTCCAGGTATCACTAATTAGGACAGATACTTGGTCAAATCCAAGTTGTTACTGGGCCGTGTGGAAGCCAGTCTACATGCTTCATACATACACTGTGCAGTGGGTTCTGTGCGATAACTTATGAACGCTGTTTTGGTCGGCTTCAAACTTTAACACTAGTGTATGCTTGTTGTATACTAGTTAGAAAAAGGCTCTGATTAGCACTAGTATGTAGGTGTTACTTTTCCAATTTTATGTAAAGAAAATTGTGAGGTATATTTTTCAGTGCTTAAATTGAAATGCCTCTTCTGAACAGTTTTAGGCTATAAAGGTTGATGTAACTAACATTAAAAAAAAAAGGCTCCATTATAGTTTTAAACTGTATAGGTGCAAACCTGACTTTTTCTTTTTTGCATAGTTAAAAGACTGGGTTGAATGGTTTCTTTGAAACAATCGGAGAAAACTGCTTGTCTCACGAAATCGTAATGACACGATTGCAAACAAACCATACCACGGGCGGGGATAGAACCCGCCATCAGAGAGTCTCAAAACTCCAGACCGTCGCGTTAGCCAATGGACCAGCTAGCTACAATAATATTCGTCCAACTAGGTATATTTCTACACCATAGAAAGGTTAGCATAGGCACCACTGTGACCACAAATGCAAGTTTTTACAGACGAATCTCCAGCTAACGTGGCCGTGACGAACTCTAGCTGGTGATCTGATTCCAGGTTTTAGCACTGGTACATTTTGTTCATTGGAATATTCATTGTCATTGAGCTATGTAAGTCTCAATCTGTTAATTTTATTAAATAAATGGAGACATTGTTTTTTTTTTTTTGTTAGGGGCTTCATACCTTTAAACTTGGTGTATATTACTAAGAGAAAGGTTCAGATTGGTTTTCGGCTGTTAGGTGTCAATTTCATTGAAGAAATTAAGATATTGGTTTATAAACGATAACGTGTGAATGTCTTGTTTGATCTCACCATTTTGTTCTGGGTCATTTGTAGTCTATCTTTCATTTTCTTTTGTTAAGACAGAGTACTATGAAGAGCAATAGGTAAACACCTCAATAGGTAGACACCGTGCCTGTCTATAGAGGTACTTTAGCCTGGCACTCACTTCCTTTACATTATTCCCTATCAACAACATTATTATTATTATTATAATAAAAAAGAAGCGCTAAGCCACAAGGGCTATACAGCGCCTATCAACAATAGTGTTCTCAAATATTTCACTGAAGATACTGAAGTGATGGGTTCCCCATTACACTGGACATTAAAAATATTTATCTTTTTCAGTTTACTTTTCATGCCAAATAGTATGGCTTGCATTTTCCCGAGGTGTAGTGATAGTTTGTTGTCTGCAAACCATTTGCTGCAGGACTCTAGTTTTAGTGACAGTACAATTGACACTGGTGGACATGTCATTTACATAACAAAGAAACAGTAAAGGAGCCAGAATAATACCTTGGGGAACCCCACATACCATCGGCAGGGGTTCTGATTCTGTGTTGTTGATCTTGACAAATTGTTTCCTGTTGCTCTGGTAGGACTTAAACCAGTAACAGAACCTATGCTGATAGCTTGTAGTTTCTTACATATTATGATTGACCGTATCGAAGGCTTTTTGCAAGTCTAAGGCCACCATACGTATGAAATTACCTAACAACATTTGAATTTTCGGGTAGTCCATCATTAATTAGGGAGGTGTCGGTCGGGTAAGATCTGAAACCTGATTGGTAATCATGGAGAATGTTTTTGTCATTAAGATACTGAACTACTTGACAGTACACCGCTTTCTCTAGAATTTTGGACATCACAATGAGTATACTAACAAGCCTATAGTTGCTAACGTCAAACATACTGTTTTTCTTGAAGATAGTAGTAACTCCGGCCTCCTTCAACCCATCCGGAACGGTATTAGTGGTGACAGACAAATTTATTATTCAGTAGTGGTACAGACACAGTAGTGAACGTTGACGATGTCATCGTACGTGGTAAACATGATACTCAGATGACATTGTGGCAGTACGTAGTAGACAAAGTGGTGATATATAGTAGACACTGTAATGGTTATATGCGTTATTATGTACGTGATAGGCGTACATAATAAGAATTCAGTTTAACTTATACCTATTGTGGGAAACATACTTCAATTCAAAGTTTATTCTCTATAAGGATTACAATGCTGAGTTTACAGAAATTTGGTTGTAACGTGGGATTTACAAATGGGAAATATTACGTGTAACATGGGATTTACAAGGATGCTTTCCAATATATTTATAATTGTCCAGTATTTTTTTAAACACTAAACCCAATAATCTGAAGGTCATAGTACGGTACGATAGTTTGTGGCGTGTCGGCAGCCACACTGAAGCAAACACTGGTGTATAAGCACTAGCAGCGGCAGCCCCAGCACTCCACCTTAAGTACAACTGAGGGTAGGAAGGAGTAGTAGATCCCTGCAGCTTTCCGTTGAAAAGTTCTTTTAATTCCTATTTTCCAAGATGGCGTCCTCAAATAATGTACTCGACACCAATGCTATGACGCTGACACGATTCACATTAGCTGAGCAGAAGAAAGCTCCACATGCGACGGGCGATCTTACTCAACTGCTTGTTAGTATCCAGACTGCTGTCAAGGCCATATCTTCTGCTGTGAGGAAAGCGGGTATCGCTCAACTGTAAGTATAAAGAAATAAATTTAGTATGAAAACCGTTAACCATTTACCGATTAGTTAACATGTCCTCAACGACCCGCTAGTGTAGGTATGGAGACATTACCAACAGGTGTGGTACAGCTGCCACGTCCAACTTGTTTCATCTTCAAAGGACAGCCAGTTAACTTTAAATATTTTTTTTCTTGTAACGGATTATTACAAATACTGTAAGTTTATTCAGGTATACACAAATACAGTTACAGAGAATTATCATACATAGCATATGTGTAGAGAACCTAGGATAACCCAAAAAAGTCAGTGACTTATTTCCATTGGGGTTCTTTTACCTTATTATTATAATATAAAAGTTATAATATTTTCTTATTATTCTGTAATGAAGATGACATCTTATTATCATACTAAAAAGACTATCTACTACACGAGGGTCATTAACACTATCTACAATACGAGGGTCATTACTAGGAATAAGGTAAAATTTTCACGTATGTTAGCTAAAAAATAGAAAATCATTCCCCTCCCTTTCTGTAGCTACATTCATCAGACACCTTTTGGCACTCTTCTTGAACTGGTTCATGCTATGACTGGCTTTGACATGTGCGGGCAGTCTGTTCCATTCCTTTATTGCTGTACAATAAAAGGTGTTTGAAGTCTGGCCACTAGTAAGTAAGTTTATTCAGGTATACACAAATACAGTTACGTAGAATTATCATACATAGCAGCATGTGTAGAGAACCTAGGATAACCCAAAAAAGTCAGACAGTGACTTATTTCCATTGGGGTCCTTTTACCAATGGAAATAAGTCACTGTCTGACTTTTTTGGGTTATCCTAGGTTCTCTACCCACTGACTGTGGGTACTACAAAGTTGTAGTAAAATATTTTCAAGTTATATTCGTTGTGAACCTACATAGATATTTTTGTTTACTGTCTAAACAGTCGCAGTAAATAAGACGTGTCCGGACAACTTAACAGCGAACTTGATAATAGTAGCCTAAGAAGCTGTCCCAAGATAAGAATCAGGGACTTCCCTAAGATTGTACTCTTATCCATTATAATTACTTTTAATGACCATAAATAAAGGCAATCTCCAACAAGTTGTCCTTTTCATACTGAAATATTTTCCGGTACTGACAGAGTTGATCCATGTTCAGAAATCTTTCCTACTGGGATAGACTGAGGTCACTGAATCTACGCTCTGCACAAGCGTAGAATTAGGGGGATGTGATTGAGGTGTATAAATGGAAAATAGAAATAATCAAAGATGTAAATAACGTGAATTCGGTTTGTCCTCCAGTGCATCCAAGACTGTCATAATGATCCAGTAGTTGTGAGAGGCATGGACGACCTGCTCTGAACCCATGCTGCCCTGGGTTGTGTAATTGTTGAAAATTCAGGCAGTTGGCTATTTTTTTTTTAGTACCCTTTCAAAGATTTTTATGATGTAGGACATCGGAGATAACCATCTATAATCATTTGATATTGCTTTTCTACCACTTATGTGATGTAGGGCAATATCGATTTTTTTTTTTTTAGCGACTGAGATGGCCTCTGTTTCAAGGCTTCCTTCCCATAGTATACATAAGGCATGCGGTAGGGGTTTCTCGCAGTTCTTGAACCTGGAGTTCCACGAGTCTTGGTCTGCGTCAGAGTGCATGAACATGTCTGACTTTTTCAGAATCTAGTCGAGTTAGGGTTGTCAGAAATTTGGCATGTATTGACAGTGCTTTGAGGCTTATTCATGAACAATTCATTCTGATTGTCTATCACTAAACAGTCATACTGAGACTTGAGTATCTCGCTCGTTTCTTTGCTGTTGTCTGTGCAAGTTCCATCTTGTTTGAGCAAGGGCCCGATACTGGATGTGATTTTTGCTTTATTTTTGATATGTGAAAAGAAATATTTTGGATATCTTTAGACTTCATTAATTGCTTTTAGCTCTTCTCTCTCCTGGATCCTGTATGAATCGTTTAACATATGTCCAATATGTTCTACTTCCCTAGTCAGTGCTTCCTTCGGCATTTCGGATAATTAAGACCCCTTGAGACGCTCAGTGACTGTCTTCGCCTGTAGAGGGAGCCTCTCTCTTTCCAGTTTACATCTCTTCATGTTTTTTCTTAGGGAATATGCCTTGAACATACTTCAGCTGCCAAAGACACTAGTTCAGATCCATGTTATTTAAGATATCTTTCCAGCATGATTTATTAAGGACATGATTTATTTAATTCCAGTTGATGTTCTTGTTGAATTTGTAGGCATCCTCTTAATTATATGCATCTAGCTGGTCAGGACCCCGTGCATACAAATCTGGACTTTTATTACGTTGTGATCTGAATTAACTGTCTTTGATACTGTTATAGTTCGTACCAGGTCATCATTATTGCGCCAAGAACCTGCCAGAACTGCTGCCTGTCTTGTATTCCTAGCAGTAAATGGTCTAAAACATTGATGCCTAACACCGTACCCACCCCTCAATAATCTCTTACACATGCTAGAGCTGAAGAGCCAAGTGCACAATTTGTGAACTTGATGTGGAAAATATTGTATATATTTTCCGGAAATACAGGATTTTATATGTAAATTGATGGCCTATATTGTAGGAAATAAAAATTAATTTGTAAATAAAGAGCCAGCGATGGGTGAGCGTCGCTGGGGCAGAGATGCCATTGTTTTGAATGTGGTACCGGCACGCTAATGAAATGTGCATAAATTTCGTCGCTCTGGAAGTTAAATTGTGTTTGAAACTTCCCAAATAGGAGCCAAAATTGTTGGATTTGCAGTCCTGCATAACGTGAGCATTAAGCAGATGGACAGGACAGCTCCAGGAACCCCAGCTAAGTCGTTGTCTATTTATGTTGAGATTCTGGCCAGTATTTTCATATTTAGGCAGGGGGGTATGACACGCCTTAATCTCCAGACTAATTGGTGAGTCTTATTATAAATTATCCTTCAATGTATATGTATTCACATTTTAAATTTAATATACAGTCCACATACTTATATTAATGTTTTTACCAGAATTCCTGGTGATGTATATTTCATTTGAAATTAATATAGGTCCAGAGTGACTTGTGGAGAGAGAGATTATGGTAGGTATCGAAGGAGGACATTTTTTGCGACCTAGGTGTCCTAAAATTCCTACTTGTCTCTGTAACCTTGATAAAGAATAATTATCTTTGTTACCATTTACTGGTATGTACCTTATGAGTTACATCCAGGTAAATTTAATTTTCCACACTTGAATCAGACATTTATACAAGATGCGAAAACTTTTAAGCTATTCTTAACGAGTCACTGGGGTGGTGGGGGGGGGCATTATGTAAGAACCGCGTCTGGTGGTTTCTCGCTAACAAATTATATAATATTAATTAATTTAAGCTCAGGCTTAAACATGGAAAAGATGAAAAAAAAATGTAATATTATTTAATATTTATTATAACTATTCAAATATAAATAGTATATCTTATAAATTGCTATAAACTAAGTGTCTCAGTTTCTTTGAGCTCCGAGAAAGATAGGACTGGAGAACAGGTATAGTGATATCGATACACAAATAACCCGCACATAAGAGAAGCTTACGACGACGTTTCGGTCCGACTTGACCATTTACAAAGTCACACTGACTTTGTAAGCTTCTCTCTTTTATGTGCGGGTTATTTGTGTATCGTTCCAGTCACGGTATTGTGCCTTTTTTTGTTATTTGTGATATCGATAGCGTATATAGATACGTGTACAGTTCAAGCCGTGTCCTGAACTGTGCAACTGTCTGTCGAAAAAGGGATTCCCGTATATCAGGCCTAGCCTCCTCTCTCAGTGCATGCAAAAGGATTAGTGTAAGATAGTCTTAAAATTCTAAAGCATCAAAATATAAAAAAAAAAGTATGCGTGTGCGCATGTGTATACACATGTATGTACATTTGCGTATGTATGCGTGTATATATATTTGTGTACATTTATAAGTGTACATATGGATTCATGCGTGTATGTATGTGTGCATATTTAAATACTTAAAGGTACCCCTTCGGGGGCATCTAATTATAAGATGTACGTGTTTCTAGGTGTTACATAAGTCAGCGTGTGGTTGCCATAGCAACAGGCTGGCTGCCAGCCACATACTGCACGCAGTAGCTCTTCCTCCTTTGTAGTGCCACTGCCACTAGTATTCTATTATTAAACACTAGTCATTTGTTCAATTCAGAAACGGTAAAGAAAATACAATAGGAAAAGCACGAATTGGAACACGGTTATTAAAATAATGGTCATCTGATGATTGGACTCTTCCTCAAAAGTTGTCTACAGTAATACAAATTCTTAGTTTAGGTAAATAAAAAATTAGCAAATCAAACGTATGCTTGACCTTAATTTTTTTCTTGGGATAATCTTAGGTAGCACCAATATGTCTTATTTGTACAGCTATCGAAATTATGTACAGAAATGTTCCCTCATAAAGAAATGTTTGAATGTTCAATGTTGGGTAGCGGGATCAGACAACCCTGGGACGTGGGTGACCTTGGGAGGCCTGGTCGACACACCCACAGTCTCCACCAACTAGCGTGTACACTGGCGGAGTTCTGACGTATCAACACCAGCACCACAAGGGTGTGGCAAACAGTTGCTAGCTGCGTTTTCTAAGTACCTGTGTCTCTTTATGCTGGTGAGCTGCTGTTGATGAGGAACGAACTAACCTTCCCTTAGATCACACATGAATTGTCTCACTCGCCAGTCATTGTTTAGCTACGGATTTAGCGCTTTTTTCTCGTAAATATAATGGATGCTGTTGTCGTATTTATAATAATAATAATAATAATAATATCTATTTACTGCAAGTACATATACAAGGTATACAGGCCTTCCTGACATCAATGACATACTACTATGTAGAAAGCCCCTTGTTATGCTCCGCATGTCGGGCAAATTAGGTTCGTGTCCCAGGATGCGACCCACACCAGTTGACTAACACCCAGGTACCCATTTTACTGATGGGGAGCATAGACAGCAGGTGGAAAG